ATGCGGCTGGCAGAGGCAGGGAAGGGAGGAGGAAGGAGCGAGACGCGCGGGGCGCTGTCCCTTCAAAGGGACCACTGATGGGCCTGTTTTTCCACCACCACCACCACCATAAGTTGGGGGGGGAAGGAGGAGGAGGAGGAGGAGGAGGAGGAGGAGGAGGAGGAGGAGGAGGAGGAGGAGGAGGAGGAGGAGGAGGAGGAGGGAGGAGAGGAGGAGGAGGAGGAGAAGGGAGGAGGAGGAGGAGGAGGAGGAGGAGGAGGACCCCCCCCCCTCCAACGTGTGCTGGTGGAAAACAGGCCCATGAACCACACTCCACAGTACGGCTGGGAATCCAAAAAGAAAAGCCCAACGATAGAAGGCGGTCAGCACACGCATTGCACAATCAAAAGAGGCAGCGAAAGTCAAACACATGCAAAGCGACAAGCCGAGCCATGCCAGAACAACGCGATGGACATGCACGGCAAAGCAATACAATGCAGCACAGGTGAAAGCAAAAGGAATGCAGTTACAAAGCATAAAGAGATGCAACGCCACGCGATGCAAAGCCAGACAGTGCAAGTCAGCGCAAGTCGACGAAATTGTAAGCGCAACTCGGCACACTGCAAGGCAAGACAAACCGATTCAAAGCAAAGGAAGCGATAATGCAACGCAGAGCAACTTAAAGCACGCCAGATTGTCCAAAACAACTGAGCGATTGAGCGCGGGACAATGCAGCGCATAATATACTATGTAACAACAGGTCAAAGCGACGGAACCGCACAAAAGGCACACAACGAATACAACGCAGCGCATTCTAGCTGAACTGAGTGCGATAAAGCGTTACAGACAAATGCAGTCCAATGCGGAGCAAACCGTTTCGGAACACAACAGCCCGATCCCAAACAACGAATGCAGTGACTTGCAGAGAAAAGCGCACCCAAGCAAGACAACGCAGCTCAAACTGAGAAATGCAAATAATGCTACGAACGCGTAGAATATGCAAGCCACTTCTAGGCCAAGTTCTGCAAACAAAAAAAAACACGACAA